ACCCCCGAGCCTGAACCTACATTCAATTGGTTCGTGGCTGATGTGACATTCCTCACGTCCACTTTCCTGAATGCTTGATTTCCCCCAGTAATCAAGATTCTATTCATCTCAGCCTTAAATTTACACAAGGTCTCTGCCTCCGCAGCTCTTTGTGACTAGGAGTTCCAAAGACACTCAGATCTCTGAAAAGAAATTCCTCCTTATCCCAGTCTTAAATTGGTGCCCTACCACACCCAGCACCTTTCCCTGCAACTGCAGAAAGTGCTACACCTGCCCCTACACCACCTCCCTCACCTCTGTTCAATGCCAAAAACAAACTTTTCATATCAGACAGGAGTTCACCTGTAAATCCGTCAACTTGGTCCACTGTATCTGCTGCTCCTGATGTGGCCTCATCTACATCAGTGAGACTAAGTGTAGACTCAGACCATTTCATAGAGCATCTGTGCTCTGTATGTGACGAACGACAACACCTTCCGATTGCCAACTATTTTAACTCCCCCTCCCACTCCCTGGGTGACCTGTCCATCTGGGCCTCCTCCAGTGCCACGATGACACCACCCGCAAACTGGAGGAGCAAAACCTCATATTCCACTACGGGACCCTACAGCCCGATGGCCTAAACGTGGAATGGAATTCACTAATTTTAAAATCTTCCCAACCCCATGTCCAACCCTCCCCCTCATCTGTTCCTCCTTGACGTGACACAACCGTCCATCTTCTCTCCCACCTATCTGCCCCACCCATCCCACTGACCAATCCCTACCACTCCCTACCTGCACTTGCCAATCACCATCCCACCTACCTTCCCCACCCTACCCCTCCCCTCTTTCTCTTTATTTCCCAGCTCCCTTCCCCCTCCCTATTTCTGAAGAAGGGTCCCAACCCAAAACTTCAACTCTTCTGCTCCTCAGATGCTACCTGGCCTGCTGTGTTTCACCAGCTCCACACTGTTATCTTAAATTGGTGCCCCTTTATTTTGAGACTAATTAATTAAGCGCACTTTGCTGCACCATGTCATGTTGTCTCTGCCTGATTGTATTATAAATTCTTAAGTAAAAAAGACCTGAAAGAACTCCGGATGCTGGAAATCAGAAACAAAAGCAGAAATTACTGGAAGAAATGAGCAGATCTGGCAGCATCTGTGGAGAAAAATCAGTTAATGTTTCAGGTCCAATGATCCTTCTTCAGAACCTACTTCTGAAGTAGGGTCACTGAATCCAAATCATTAACTCTGATTTTTCTCCACAGATGCTGCCAGATCTGCTTAATCTAATTTTCTTTAAAGTATCCTGCTGTAATCTCCTAAATTCCAGTAATATCCCTGTGATAAATATTTAGCAAACTAATCTCTAGTTTCTTGTTTTTTCTCCCTCCTTCCTATTGTAATTGTGTTACATATTTTTTCAATCAGCCAGGAACTTGCATAACCTAAGGAATTCTAGAGAAATACAGCTAGTGCATCTTCTATCTTGACAGCTACCACTTTAAGACTCTAGGAATACAGGTCATTTGGGACTTGTCAGGCTTTAGGTCTGATATTTTGCTCAGGACATTTTCCTGATGATATTAAATGAGTTCCTCCCTCTTGTTCATCTCTTGATTTTCAAATACCATTGGGAAATGTTCCAAGTCTTCTACAGTAAGGATAGACACACAAGAACTGTTGAATGCCTACACCAATTTCTATCCTTCTATGATCCATTCCCCAACACACAACACCGAGGATCAATGCTAACTTTCATTGGTTCTATGTAAATAATTGTCAAACCTCTTATTATCTGTTTTTATATTATAAGGTAAAATTTTCTCATACTCAATTTTCTCCCTTTTGTTTAGTCATGATTTGGTTAGATTTTAAGAACCAGTAATTTGTGACTTACCTTTGAAGATTTTGTGCAGTCTTTTTATTCCTTTATGGAACGTAGGCATCACTGCTGGCCAGCACTTATTGCCTGTCCCTAGTTGCCCTTGAAGATGGTGGTGAGTTGCCCTCTTGAACTGTTGCTGTCCATGTGATGTAGGTTGACCCATAATGCCTTTAGGGAGGGAATGTCAGGATTTTGACCCAGCAACAATGAAGGAGTAGTGATCTATTTCCAAATTGGTATGGTGAGTAGCTTGGAGGGGAACTTGAAGTTGGTGGTGTTCCCAAGTGTATGCTACCCTTGTCCTCCTAGATGGAAGTGGTCACTGGTTTGGAAGGTTCTGTCTGAGGATCTCTGGTGAATTTCTGCTGTGTATGTAGTAGATAGTATACACTGCTGCTATTGAGTGATGGTGGTGCAGGGAGTGAATGCTTTTAGATGTGATGCCAAACAAGCGGGCTGCTTTGTCTTGACATTGTCAAGCTTCTTGAGTGTTGTTGGAGCTGCACCCATCCAGGCAAATGGCAACTATTCCATCACACGCCTGACGATGCATGGCTCAGTGGTTAGCACTGCTGCCTTATAGCACCAGGGACCCGAGTTCAATTCCAGCCTTGGGCAACTTTGTGGAGTTTGCACCTTGTACTCATGTCTGCGTGGGTTTTCTTTGGGTGCTCCAGTTTCCTCCCACCGTCCAAAGGTGTGCAGGTTAGCTGAGTTGGCTGTGCTAAATTGCCCATATAGTTCAGAAATGTGTAGTTTAGGTGGATTAGCCGTGGGAAATCGAAGGTTACAGGGATAGGATAGTGGATAGTGGGGTGCGTATGGGTGTGATGCTCTTCGGAGAGTTGATGTGGACTTATATAGCGTGTTTCCACACCAAGGATTCTAAGATTCTACTGTGCCTTGTAGATGGTGGACAGGCTTTGGGGAGTCAGGTGGTGAATTACTTGCCACAGTATTCTTCACCTCTGACCTGCTCTTGTGGCTGCTGTGTTTATGTGGTGAGTCCAGTTGAGTTTCTGGTCAATAGTAACCCAAGGATGTTGAAGGTGGGGTTTCAGTGACGGTAACACCATTGAATGTCAAGGGACAGTGGTGAGATGGTCACTGCCTGGAATTTGCGTGGGACGAATGTTACAGTTCAGTTTGATACTGTCTTTAACATTCTGTTCAACTACAGATGATGCTTCCTTTTCAATAGTCTATCTCATTGGGATAAATGTTTGCTGCCAGTTGTTAAACATCTCCTTAAAATACTACCACAGCTTCTCTGCTGTTGTAAATTCTAACCCAGTTTCTGGTTCCCTTGAGATAGCTTTGCCCCTATGCTGTTATTTTAATTGAAACATAAAACACCAGCTTTAGACCACACCTCCTCTTCTCAAACTGAATGTGAAATTTCATTCTTATGATCACTTTCACATTGCAATTTCTCCCTAGAGGTTGTTGTTTAATCCTGTCTCATTGCTCATTACCTGGCCTGGAATAGCCACCACCTTGATTAGCTGTGGAGCATGCTACTCCACAGAACTCCTTACACGCTAGGACTCATTTTCCAGGCCACCTTTTCCAATTTGATTTGTCCAATCTCTATGTAGATTCAAATCTCATTATTCTTGTGGTACTTTTGTAACACACCCTATTTATTTCTTCCTGTATGCGCTGTCTTAATGTGACTACAGTTAAAAGGCCTGTAAGTTGCTCCCTGAAGTTATCCTTGTCTTTCTTATTGCTTGTCTCTGTTCAAATCAGTCTTACATTTTGCGCTTTGAAGGTAAATTCCTAACTCACTACGGTACTAGTGATGCTTTTAGTCTACTGAATTACCTCACCATCCTTGTCCTAGTTTCCTACTTTTTCAGCATGTCAAACACTCTTCCATGTTCACATCTTAGACTTGGTCACCCTGCAACCTGTAACGGCCATAAGGTTACACATAATTTTTTAAATATGGACGGAATAAAAGTATCAGTGCTTTTTAGCAAGTTTTTTTTTTTTAGTTTTGCAATCTCTGGACTTGTCCTGTCTTCAGTTTGTACGCTCCATCTCTTTGTTCCACATTTGCTACCCAAATTGCCACATCTCCCACATGATGCCTTCCCCTTGCTATTTGGTTTACAATTCATGGGGTATTGGAACCATGGTAAGATCAGTGTTCTGGTGAGCTACAGAACAAGGATGGTAGAGAGAGGACCTGAAACTGAATAATTCTTCCACTCCAATCTTTAAACGATATGCTCATCTTTACAGATGCCTGGACTCCAGATTATGGCTTCACATTTTGTGAGGATGGAATGCAAATTTATCATTCAGTTCTAAAATATCAGTGTTAAACATGTATAATGAACAAGTTGAGGTTGTAGTCTTGTTTGTCAAGCCAGTGGATTTGGTTGCAAATGTTTCATCACCCTGCTAGGTAACATCGTCAGTGCGCCTCCGGTGAAGCTTCGGTGTTCTGTCCTGCTTTGTTATTTATATGCCTCAGTTTGCTGGGCTGGTTGGTATTATTTCCGGTTTGGTTTCTCAGTGGTTTGCACACAGAGTCTAATCCAATGTGTTTGTTGGTGGAGTTCAGTTTGGAATACCAGACCTCCAGGAATTCCCTGGCATGTCTCTGTTTGGCTTGTGCGATTATTGATGTGTTGTCCCAGTCAAATTTGTGTCCCTCGTTGTCCATGTGTAGTGACATTGAATTAGACCCTGTGTACAAACCACTGCGGACAGAACACCGAAGCTTCACCAGAGGCGCACTGACAATGTTACCTAGCAGGGTGATGAAACTTTTGTAGCCAAATCCACTGGCTTGGCGAGCATGTCTACAACCACCTCCACAACCCGAGCTACAAATCTTCTCAAACTTTAATGAGCAAGTTAGTTGCCACATACAGAAGGAAAACACTGTCGGGTACTGTACGCTGGTCTAACACCATTTGTGAGCTGGAAACAGAGTCGTTGACCTGAACTGTTAACCCAGTTTCTCTTTTCACAAATGCTAGATCTGCTAAGTATTTTCAATATTTTGTTTCAATAGCAGCATGGCTTAAGTATACAATACTTGTCTGACGAAAGCAAATCTGAAGTGTTTTTTAATCAATCTTGTAACTAATTATGGTTTTGTTTCATTTAAAGGTGGTCGGTTTACCGTCAGATGCCTGATAATTGTGAGCTGTTCAATGTTGGCCAAATCCATCGCTTTCTTTCGAGTATTCTTGAAGCACAACAGAATCGGACTGTTCGTCAATCTGTATACTCTAGAAAGAAAGTGAGGCTGCTGATTGTGACACCAGGGTGAGTGTAATTCAGCATAGCTAAAGTCTACTTTACATGGAAGCTGCACGCACCAGGTCAGAGTGTGGGAGTCATCAGAATGTGATTTGTAACACACCTTTATGCTGGCTCAAGTATATTAAGTAATGCAAGACAAGTTTCCCATTCACCTGTCTGATTAGTGAATGACGTAGATCTCCATCTTGCCTTTCCCAACCACACAAACTCCTGTTCCATGCTTCTTTTTGCCTATTCCATGTTATATAATAGGAACAGTCCTTTCAGCGCCTTAAGCCTGTTTGACGATTCACTGAGATCATGGTTGATTTGTAGCTTAACTCCATAAATCTGCCTTTGGCCATATCCCTTCATACCTCTGCTTAACAGTTTATCCAGTTTACCTTTAAAATTAACAATTGATCCAGCATCCATGCTCAATATTAATGTTAAAAGTTGCCCTCAAGTTCACAGTCAGATTTTGATCTGCCTCATTATTACCAATTGAAAAAATTCCATATACATCAACATGTTTGCCAAATTTAAAAGCCAAAGGTAGTTCAGTGGCTCAAAATAAGAGGACCACATTTTTGCAGAGCCGGGCCAAATCTGGAGGCTTTTTTTTTAAAATATGTCATTGACTTAGATGTTATAAGTTTGAAAGGGATGTGTTAAATTCAGGATTTAAGCCCCACCCCACCCCCAGCTGGTACAAGTGGGCTCTAATGAAAATGTGAGTTTGCCTCCATATCTGGATCCCCAATTTTTTTTTTTTTTTTTTTTAACAAAAGACCTCCAGATTTGGCCCAACTGTGCAAAAATGTCACCCTCTTATTTTGAACCACTGAACCATTGAACCACCTTTTGGCTTTTCAAATTTTTCAAACATGTTGAAATATTTGGAATTTTTTCAATTGGTAACGACGAGGCAGAACAAACTCCGACTGTCAACTTGAGGGCATTGACATAAATTGTAAAACATTGAGGCTGCTAACACCGACCTCTTCAGGAGTACACTCATCACATCCAACCAATCAGACAGAAAGGCCCATTCATGCATTCTGTGTTTTTTTGACGGTCAACTGATCTTCTGCCCATGCAAATGTGTTACCCCCTATACCATGAGCTTTTATTTTCTACAGTATACAGGCACCTCATCAAATGCCTTCTGGAATACAATGAGACAGTGGGTCACTATTCAAAATTTTACTTGAGAGTACAACATACTTATTTTGAGTATTCCGAAATATTTCCCTGAATGTTGACAAGCTTTCCTTGGGCTTAGAAGTGTCAACAAAAATGGTAAAAGCTAATAGTTCTGGGTTATGAACTACGTCTAATTACTTGAACTAAGATTCACCGTTTTTTTTAAAGAGTAAAGTAGTTCTAGTATCAAACAGTGTAGATTAAACCTTACCCTTCCCTGAAGTTTATTGCATTTTGGGTTTATGAGGAATGATCATTTTCTAGTGTATCTGTTATTTACTTGAGAACTCGGGCTATGGAACATAAGACTAGCTTATAGCTTACTTAACTCGAGACTGACCTGAGTTTCATGCCTACACCCCTTCCATTAAACCATGAAAGAAACAGTCATAAATTCAGAGGCTGACTGACTGTAGTATCCCAAATGCTAAGCTGAACTCTTTCTCTCAACAGCGCGGTGGACAAGGTTTCTTTACGTCGGTGTTCTTAGAAAAATAATCCAAAAGACTTGCTCTTCTAATTGACTGGAGTTTGCATACTTAGCTGAGTTGTGCAAAGTAAGACTATGTTCAGTTCACTTATCACTTCTGTGCCAAGTTAGCTGTGTTGGCTGGAAGATCCAGTGGCAATGGAAGAAAAGTCCGTTAAGGTTCCAAATCCAGAGCATCCAGATGAAAACAGTATTGAACTCTAAATCTTTTTCAAATGCTCATTGCTTCATATACTGATGATGATGATTTGGGTAAGATGCTAAAAGATATGGGTCAATACTGTAGCAAGTTGTTGAAGCCTAACAAAACTGTTCAAGTATGCTACAAATCATCTGCAATCACTTGCTAACAAGTATAATTATCTACCTAGGGAATTCTGCAGCACTGGCATGGGTTTTGAAGGTCCTCGGATGTCTGATGGGACAATCCTAAAGCCACATCTCCAACCACGCATTTAGCAGGTGTTTCTGGGAGGTGGAGTTGGTTTTTGGCCTTGAAGTAGCTGGTGTTCCTTTCTTCGGCTCCTTTTCCGTATTTACTGTTGCTAATAGATGTTTTCAAAGAATTGTGGCCCTTCGTTCAGGAGATCCAAGTTGGTTTCTTCTGAACAAACATCTCCCACACATTGACATCTACATTGCGTTTCGTTAGGGAACCCTTCAGAGAGTCGGTGAAGTATCTTCCTTGAACTGGGTGAAGATAATTTACCTTGGCAATCAACTCGGGCATCCTAAACATGTGACAGGTCGAGTGGAGTTGGTTACGGATGACCATGGCCTAGATGCTAGTGCTGTTGGCTGCTTCAAGGATGCTGATGTTAGTACGCCTGTCCTTCCAGCAGATGCGGAGAATCCATCTCAGACAGAGATGATGGTACTTCTCAAGGGTCTTGAGGTGGTATCTATATGTTGTCCACGTTTCAGAGCCGTATAAAAGAGTCAGAAAGATGAATGTCTTATACACAAAGATCTTGGTATCAAGTTATCAAAGACTGTTATTGTTAGGCGTCTGAAGGTCGTACTGACAGATTGAACGCGAAGCTGAATCTTTGAATCGATCTCAGCTTTGGATGAGAGGTAGGTTCCCAGGTAGGAAAAATGTTCCACGTTTGGGAGAATTTCTCTTTTGAACTTGATTGAGGGAAGGACCAGAAATTGAGCTGGGTAAGGTTGGTAAAGGATTTGAATTGTCTTGAGTTTGAGGCTGAGACCAATTCTTGAGTATGCTTCTGCCAAAAGCAAGGCTTGGAAGATTCACTTTCGAGAGCACAGAGATGATGTTAGCTTCCATATACTGAAGTTTCACAGGTGATGAAGTCAGTGTCATTTTCTTCTTGGTTTTCAAACATTTGAGATTCAAAATTTTTCGCCAGTCCTGAAGACAAAATCTACACCACTGCGAAACTTGTTCTTGACAATTTGAAGAATGGTGGTGATGAAGACAGGGAAAAGGGTGGGGACGATCATGTATCCCTGCTTGGCCTGAAAGGATTTTGCCATTTTACTCTGTGAGGACTGTTTCTGACATAATGTTGTGGAGGAGATGGAAAATGTTGATGAATTTCTCTGGAAGCTGACCTTTGACAGGACTTTCCAAGGTACTTTCCCATTGACTGTGTCAAAAACTTTGGTCAGATTGATGAAGGCCATCCTGAGAGTAATTGTCAAGAAAAAGTGCTTTTAAAATCACTTATTGATATTTTCATGATGTAGGTTTGTGTTTTGAAGATGGATTTTTTTTTTCCAGGCAAACTTTGGGGAGGGGATTGTTTAGAATGATAGAACTCCAAAGCACTCCCTCACACGGTGGTATACCTCGGCCACCTGAATGCAGGCCCCAGTCCTTGCTCAAGAGGATGCTTTTGATTTTAAAGCAAGAAGTTTAGTAGTCTTACAACAGGATAACTAGTCTTAATGCCAGAGATATATGTGCCACCGTCATGCTTAACTAACTTGGTTAAGCATTTTGATGAGTGTAATGTGATTGTTAAATCTGGTTAATGTGGGCTTCCAAAAGATGTTTGAAGTGCCACATAACAAGTTTGTCAGCACAGTTAAATCCTACAAAATTAAATGGGTAGTGGCTGCATGGATATGAAGAATGGCAGTAAATGTTTTTTTCTGACTGGATGGAGGTTATACGTGGGGATTCCCAGGCCTCCAAACCAGAACCTCTACTTTTATTAATCTGTATGAATGACCTCAATTTGTTTGCAAGGTGTAACTTCAAAATTTGGAGATAACACTGAGCTTGGTAGTATTGTGAACTGTGAAAAAGAAACTGATGCAATTCAAGAGGATGTAGGTGGACATTTTGTCGATGAATTTTAATTGAAGGTGATCAAGGAAGTTGAGAAAGCACTTAATATGCCAAGTTATGGTAAACTTTGACAAAACGTTGGTTGGGCCTCAACTGAAATATCTGGATGTACATGTCAGGAATTTTGTGGAAGTGTTACGAGAGGATGCAGAAAAGATTTGAGCATGATTTCAGAGAGGAGAAACTTGTTTACAGATTAATTGAAAGGACATTTGAAGGGATATTCAAAAGGTAGTCACCTGGAAAAAGGAAACAGGGAGAATTGTTCCCCATTGGTGATTGGTTGAAGGACTGAGATATTGATGTAAAATAAATGGCAAAAGAATGAAAGATAACATGGGCTGTACATTATGAAGGGGCAGGCCAGTGTGATTGATAGACTGGCCAGCGTGATAGATAGAGACACTGCAGGTACAGTCAGGTAGATGGGTGCTGGCCAGGAGAGGTAGGCAGGTAGTGGAATCATCTCCTGTGACTTGTACAAGAGGGACAGGTTGCACCTGAACTGGATGGGACCAACATCCTGGCGGGGAGATTAACTGTAGCTACTCAGGAGGGTTTAAACTAATCCGGCTGGGGGTGGGGGGTGGTGTTGGGACCTGACTAAGTAGTAGTGAGACAGCAGAGAAGATTGAGGCTGGTACAGAAATTGAAGACAATAAGTTAAATAGACAAGGCAGGCAAGAGCATGGCGGAGAACAAGGGAAGTCTGATGAATTAAACCGTATTTATGTCAATGTAAGAGGCCTGACAGGTAAGGAACTCTGGTCATGGGAGTGGGATATCATAGCTATGGCTAAGGGAGGGACAAGACTGACAGCTCAATGTTCTGGGCTATAGATTCAATATGAAGGATAGAAAGGGACGTAAGAGAGTGGGTGAGTGGTGTTTTTGATGAGGGAACACATCACTGCAATGGTTAGGTGATTCCTGGGGGATCATCCAGTGAAGCTATACGGGTGACAGTGGGAAATAAGAAGGGGGTGATCGCTTTGATGGGATTATGCTATAGCCCCCCACTCTCTCCTCCAACAGTTAGCAGGAAATTGTGGAGCAAATATGTAGGGAAATTGCTGATAGCTGTAAGAATAATAGGGTGTAATAGTCGGGGATTTTAACTTCCCAAACACAAACTGGGAGTGCCATAGTGTTAAGGGCTTGGATGGGGAGGACTTTTAAGTGTGTTCAAGAGAACTTTCTCAATCAATATATAGATGGCCCTACTAGAGAAGGGGAGTTGGAGTCATACCTGACACATAGGAAGATGGTTGTGGTTGTTGGAAGTCAGTCATCTCAGCTTCAGGACATCTGTGTAGGAGTTCCTCAGGGTAGTGTTCTAGGCCCAAGCATCTTCAGCTGCTTCATCAGTGAACTTACCCCCCCTCTATAGGGTGAGAAGTGGGGATGTTCGCCAATGATTGCATAATGTTCAGCTCCATTCTTGACTCCTCAGACACTGAAGCAGTTATACTTAAATGTAAGGTAACAAAGTGTGTAGAGCTGGATGAACACAGCAGGCCGAGGAGCAGGAAAGCTGACGTTTCAGGTCTAGACCCTTCTTTAGAAATGGGAGAGGGGTAGGGGATTCTGAAATAAATAGGGAGAGAGGGGGAGATGGATAGAAGATGGATAAAGGAGAAGATAGGTGGAGAGGAGATACAGGTCAAAGAGGCGGGGGTGGAGCCAGTAAAGGTGAGTGTAGGTGGGGAGTTGGGAGGGTAGGTCAGTCCAGGGAGGACGGACAGGTCAAGGGGGTGGGATGAGGCTGGTAGGTAGGAGATGGAGGTGGAGCTTGAGGAGGGGATAGGTGGGAGGAAGGACAAGTTAGGGAGGCCGGGACAAGCTGGGCTGGTTTTGGGATGTGATCGGGAGAGGGGAGATTTTGAAGCTTGACAAGTCCACATCGATACCATTGGGCTGCAGGGTTCCCAAGCGAAATGAGGCTCCCCCGATGTCCCTGCGTCCCTAACCTGTCCTTCCTCCCACCTCAAGCCCCGCCCCCTTGACCTGTCCGTCCTCCCTGGACTGACCTATCCCCCCCCTAACTCCACACCTACACTCACCTTTACTGGCTCCAGCCCCGCCTCTTTGACCTGTCTGTCTCCTCTCCACCTATCTTCTTTATCCATCTTGTATCCACCTCCCCTGCTCTCCCTATTTATTTCAGAATCCCCTTCCCCTACACCATTTCTGAAGAAAGGTCCAGACCTGAAACGTCAGCTTTCCTGCTCCCCTGATGCTGCTTGGCCTGCTGTGTTCATCCAGCTTCACACCTTGTTTTCTCAGATTCTCCAGCATCTGCAGTTCCTAATATCTCTGAAACATACTTAAATGTAAGCTCTATTTCAGTTGTAACGTTATGGTGGATAGATTTTTATGATTTGATTTTGGATAAGTGAGGCTAGTCTATCAAAAGCAAATGTTGTGCTGAGAGATCTGTCATTGAACTGATGCATGCACTTTCTTTTCTCACAGCTAATGCCATACCTACTGAGTATTTCAGTGCTGTGTGCTGTATTTGAGTATTGTTTTTATTTTCTTTTATATATATGTATCTGAATTCTTCCATCAAGCTTAACGCCATTGACTTGATTTATGATTCAACAGTTTGAAACATCCAAAGGTATTTGAAGTACCTCTAACCTATTTGAGAGCATGATCAAATGGTTTTTGGAGAAAAGTACTTCAATTTTCTGAAGAAAGATCTAGGCCCGAAAGGTCAGCTTTCCTGCTCCTCTGATGCTGCTTGGCCTGCTGTGTTCATCCAGCTCTACACCTTGTTATCTCAATTAGATTGTAATTAGTTCTAATCAACCTTTCAGAAATGTAATTATATACCACCAGGAGCTGAACTTGAACCTCCTGGCCCAGGGATAGGGACATTACAACTGTCCCACAAGGCCCTTGCCTCAGTTAAATTTTACAATTGTTCAAGTTAAAAGTATCTACTAAGCAACTCCTGGTGGTAAATACTAAATAAAAAGGGAAAGAACTACAGATGCATAAATCTGGAATAAAACAGAAGTTTCTCAGTATTCTGAGGAAGGGTCACCAGACCCTAAATGTTAACTGTGATTTTTTTTTTCACAGATGCTGCCAGTCCTGCTGAGCCTTTCCAGCAACTTCTGTTTTTGTTCCTGGTGGTAAATGTATGAGACTGGTTCAGCCTTTTCTCAGACCCTTCAACTTCTCACACTAGACTTGGATATTGTTGCTGGTCTTGTTACTAATTTTCAATTCGTACATGCACCTTTTATTTTTCATAGGTACACAGACGTTATTGATGTTGTGCAGGCTATCCAGATGCATCCCGACTCTGAAGTTCAGTCTGCATTCGTCATTGGTGCTATCACTGCTTGTATTGACCCACAGTGCTCAACCATGGAACACAGGTGCCATTAAAATGCTAGCTTAGTACTGTAAATCTCTTCTGAAATTTACGCTCTTACTCACCTTTAACAAATTGATGCTAAACATCCACTTGAAATGCATTACGTATTGATCTAAAAACATTTTGCATATGTGGATCTGTTATACTTAAATGTAAGCTTTATTTCAGTTGCAGCATTATGGTGAGTAGATTTTTACTGCTCGATTTTTGGGTAAGTGAGACTAGTCTATCAAAAGCAAACGGTGTGCTGGGAGATCTGTCATTGAGCTGCTGCATGAGCTTTCTTTTCTCACAGCTAATGCCATACCTACTGAGTATTTCCACCATTTTTTTTGTTTGGATTTCTGGTTTTCGGCATTTGCACTAAATTTACGTTTGTCTTCTCATTTGTACTTGTTCAGACATCACCAGACAATCATCATCAGTACATTTCTTCCTGTCCTCATACAGTCACTTTTGATGTATCCTTTATCGCTCCTGTTCCTCACATACATGCCTAGGCAACATGATTCAAAAGCGCACAATCTGTTTCCACCATGGTTGCTTATAACACTCAAGTCTACTTCACCAGCCTATCTTTCAGACCTTTCATAGTTGAAATTGTCAAATTGCCTGTTTGACATTCAATGAGAAACTGCTTCATGTTAAATAGAAGTTTATAAAGCCATAAGGGACATGGATAGGGCGACTAGTCACAGTCTTTTCCCCAGGGTAGAGGAATCTGAAACTAGAGGGGAGGTTTCAGACAAGAGTGGAAAGTTTTGAAAGGGACCTTTTAATGGCACCTTTTTCACACAGATGGTGGTACATGTATGGAATGAGCTGCCAGAGGAGGTGGTGAAAGCTGGTACAGTTACGTTTGAAAGGCATCTGAGTGGGTATATGAATGGGAAAGGTTTAGATGGATAAGGGCCAAATACTGGCAGATAGGACTAGATTAATGTGGAATATCTGGCATGGACAAGTTGGACTGAAGGGTCTGTTTCTGTGCTGTACATCTCTATGACTCTATAACTCTGTAAATATAGGGGTGAGTGAAAATGCAGTTTTTGGTATCTGACAGAAACTCTGTTCCCCAGTCACTAATTCTGTCCTTTTTCCTCAATAGCTGTGTGAAAGAAATGCACACTGGTCCCTTCCCTGGTGTTGAATTTGAAATCGAGATGCATTCCTGACAATAGTCTGTAACATCAGTATGACCTATTTTCATCTGCTATAGCATTTCTTTACTTTGACCTTGTCCCATCTCATCTGATTTTCATCCAGGTCATTTTTACCTGTAAACATGATTATTCCAATACAGGTCCCCAAGTTGCTATCATTGGCAAATGTTGATGCTTTATCATGCCCCATATTTATGTTGCCTACGGCATCATGGTTAAACATTGCTGATCCCCAGGAAAATATCATCTGGGAATGGCCAAAAAAACCAAGGAAACAACATAAAGACAAAAAGGGAAATAAATCTGCAAAAATGTGTTCTCACCTCATCCAGAAGACTACATTTGACCATGCTTCTGTTAACTGATAAATTGCTTATCAATAATGAGATGCCTTTTCTTCCCTAACCAAGAACTGGTCCAAAAACAGAAGTTGCTGGAAATGGTCAGCAGGTCTGGCGGCATCTGTGAAGAAAAAATCAGAGTTGACGTTTCGGGTCAGTGACCCTTCTTCAGAACTGAAGAACTGGTCCGGTTCTCTCTCGAAGGCCAAAAGGAGATTGGTGCAAACAGAGTCTGAAATGCAGTTGAAAGGGCAAGGTATAGAGTTCTAGAGAACCACAAGTTATGTTACAAACAAAATCAGAAAAATCTCAAAAAATGCTGGAAAATCTCAGTAGTTCTGAATGTGGTTCACTGGACTTGAAACATTAACTCTGCTTTCTCTGCACAAGCTGCCAGACCCGCTGTGATTTTCCAGCAATTTGATAGAATAGAATCATAGAATCCCTACAGTGTGGAAACTGTCCACACTAACTTTCAGAGCATCCCACCCAGACCCAACCCTTTCCCTGTAACCCTGCATTTCCCATGGCTAACCCACCTAACTTACACATCCCTGGACACAATGGGCAATTTAGCATGGGCAATCCACATCTTTACACTGTGGGAGAAAACTGGAGCACCCAGTAGAAACCCACACAGACACCCGTGTGCACACTCCACACAGACAGTCGCATGAGGGTGGAATCGAACCAGGGTGCCTGGTCCTGTGAGGCAGCAGTCTAACCACTGAGCCACCATTCCAGCAACCACATTTCTTTGGTTCTTTTGTCTACCAAAAATTGTTCTTGGGCGAAGTAGAAGAAAACTCAGCTTATAGTGACATGCAAAAGAAGCAAGGATGATGTCAGAAAAAAACTTTCATACAGTGAGTAGTAGGATATGGAACGCACTGCCTGGAAATCTGGTGGAGACAGATTCAATTGAGGCATTCAAGAAGGCATAGGCTGATTATTTAGGTATTAGTAGAGAAAAGGCATGAAATTGTCAATCGGTAATAGAATCAGTGCTAAGGCATGCTAAGCCAAGTGGCCTCCTGCACTGTAACAAATCTGTGTTTGTTATAAAAAGATATAGGCATTTTAGGCTGTAGAAATATAGAAGAATAGAGTGCAAAAGCATTTCAACCTTTTAATGTTTAGGCTGTGTAATTCAGAGGTCAGCAACCTGAAAAAGCCCTTTTAAAACATTTATCTAAATTAAAGCTACTGGGAGTCGCAAGAGGAAACAAATTGATAATTAAGGCAACTCTTTGCTTTTTTTTGTGATGTAACAAAAAATCTAATAGCACATTCAACACAATTTTGTGTCAGTTGCAATAGAATCCATAATGGCTGCAACTATAATATTTGAACCCATGGCATTTTTTCTAATCATGGTTAACTTTTATAGCAGCTATAGCATGATGGGAAGGTGATGGCCTAATGGTATTATTGCTAGTCTTAATTCACAGACCCAGGTAATGTTCTGGGCACTTGGGTTTGAATCCCACTATCGCAGATGTTGGAATTTAAATTCAATAAAAATCTGGAATTAAGAGTCTAATGATGACCACGAATTCATTGTTGGCTTTTAAGGACAAACCCAACTTGCTCAGTAATGTTCTTTTAGGGAAGGAAATATCCTTAGCATACATGTGACTCCAGACCCACACTACTGTGATTGACTCTTCACTGCCTTCTGGGTAGTTGAGGGATGGGCATTAAATGCTGGCCTAGCCAGTGAACCACTTATCCTGTGAATTAATCAAAAAAGAACTTTGAACAGGCTTGGAGCATGATGATGTTTTTTAGAGTCACAGGGCCGTACGGCACGGAAACAGATCCTTCAGTCCAACTCGTCCATGCCGACCAGATATCCTAAATAAAGCTAGTCCTATTCGTCAGCATTTTGCCCATATCCTTCTAAACCCTTCCTATTCATATACGCATCCAGATGCCTTTTAAATGTTGTAATTATACCAGCCTCTGCCACTTTCTGTGGCAGCTCATTCCACGTATGCATCAGCCTCTGCGTGTAAAAGTAGCCTCTCAGGTTCTTCTTAAATCTTTCTCCTCTTGTTTTAAACCTATGCCCTCGAGTTTTGGACTCCCCCCACCCTGGGGAAAAGACCTGACTATTCACCCTTTTTCATGCCCCTCATGATCTTGTAAACCGCTACAAGGTCACCCCTTAGCCTCCGACGCTCCAGGGAAAATAGCCCCAGCTGATACAGCCTCTCCCTATTGCTCAAACCCTCTAACCCTGGCAACATCCTTGTAAATCTTTTCTGAACCCTTTCAAGTTTCACAATATCCTTCCTCTAGCAGGGAGACCAGAATTGCATGCAGTATTCCAAAAGTGGCCTAACCAATGTCCTGAACAGCTGCAACATGGCCTCCCAACTCCTATACTCAATGCACTGACCAGTAAAGGCCAGCAGACCAAACGCTTTCTTCATTATCCTGACTACCTGGACCTCCACTTTAAAGGAACTATGAACCTGCACTCCAAGGTCTGATTGTCCAGCAACATCTCCAGGACCTTGCCATGAAGTGGATAAGTCCTGCCCTGACTTGCCTTTACAAAATACAGCACCTCTCATTAACCGAAATTAAACTTTGTCTGCCACTCCTCGGCCTATTGGCTAATCCGATCACGATAGAAACAGAGAAGATAGGAGGAGGCCATTCAGCCCTTCCAGCCTGCTCCACCACTCTTCACGATCATGGCTGATTGTCCAACTCAATAGCCTAATCCTGCTTTCTCCCCATAACCTATGATCCCATTCACCCCAAGTGCTATATCTAGTCACCTCTTGAATACATTCAATGTTTTGGCATCAACTACTTCCTGTGATTATGAATTCCACAGGCTCACCACTCTGGGTGAAGAAATGTCTCCTCATATCCATCCTAAATTGTCTACCCCAAATCCTCATACTGTGACCCCTGGTTCTGGACACACCCACAACAGGAACATCCTCCCTGCATCTACCCTGTCCAATCCTGTTAGAATTTTATAAGTCTCTGAGATTCCCCCTCATTCATTTAAGCTCTAGTGAAAACAATCCCAACCTGGCCAATCTCTCCTCATACGTCAGACCCGCCATCCCTGGAATCAGCCTGGTAAACATTTGCTGCACTCCCTCGAGAATAAGAGCATCTTTCCTCGGAACAGGAGACCAAAACTGCGCACAATATTCTAGGTGTGGCCTCACCAAGGCCCTGTATAACTGCAACAACACATCCATGCTTCTGTACTCGAAACTGCTTGCAATGAAGGCCAACATACTATTTGCTTTCTGTACTGCCTGCTGCATTGTGCTCTGAGGTAACCTCCTTCACTGTCAACTGCACCTCCAATTTTGGTGTCTTCTGCACAATTACTAACCATACATCCTATGTTCACATCCAAATCATTGATATAAATGACGAAAAGCAGTGGACCCAGAACTAATCCTTGTGGTTCATCGCTGGTCACAGGCCTCCAGTCTGAAAAGCAACCCTCCACTACCACC